GACTCGATAAGACTTCCCGACGAAGAACAGCTGGCCGGCTTCTCATCCGCATCGAAAAAGTTCCACGTCTCCCTCATTTTCTCCGGTTTTGGCGAAGAAAATGAAGCGTTTTCTCGTGTGTCTCTTGATGGGTTTGGCTTCGGCCGACCTGTGGCCTCGATTCGATTCCCTTCGGCGGTCCTCGATCTCGTCCTCGAAGGCCTTCGGGGCGAAGCAGGAGCCGGACGCGCGTCTGCCGACTCATCTGGTGCCGTCGGCGTATAACGTGACGCTCTTGCCTCGGTTCGACGAGGCGGCCGGGTTTCCCGTCGAGGGGAGCGTGGCGATTCGCGTGCGATGCGCGTCCCCGGGCGACAACGTCACCCTGCACGCCGTCGACATGACCTTTCGGGAATTCCGGGTTCGACGATACGACACCGGCGAGGATCTGACCGTCGTCGGAACGGAACAGGACCCGGAACGGGATTTCCTCGTCCTGCGACTCGGCGAAACGCTGGAAACCGGCGCGGAGTACGTCGTCGAGATCCTGTTCGATTTCCGAATCACCGAGGATCTCTTCGGTCTGTATCTGGGATCCTACGAACAGGACGGGGAAGTCCACCACCTGGCCGTGTCGTTCACGCAGGCCATTGGTGCCCGACAGGTTTTCCCGTGCTTCGACGAGCCGGCTCTGCGGGCCACGTTCGCGGTGACCCTCGGTCGCCGCGAGACGTGGACGGCGCTGTCGAACATGCCTCTGAGCGGGACCGTGGAGATCCCCGGAGAACCCGGGATGGTCTGGGACGCGTTCGAGACCACGGTCCCCATGCCCACGTACCTGGCGTGCTTCGCCGTGTCGGAGTTCGAGTCTGTGTCTCGCGACGGCGAGACCCCGTTCGCTGTCTGGGCCAGGCGAGACCTCGTCGACCTCGGGGAATACATCCTGACCAAAGCGCCCGGGATGCTCGACCGCTTCGAAGAGCTGCTCCGCGTGGAATACTCCCTGCCCAAGATGGACCTCATCGCGCTGCCTCAGTTCTCTCCCGGCGCGATGGAGAACTGGGGACTCGTCACGTATCGGGAGGCGAGGCTTCTCAGGGATCCTCTCAGGTCGGATGCCCTCACCGTCTACCTCACCGATGCCATCTCGTCTCACGAGTTGGCTCATCAGTGGTTCGGGAATCTGGTCACGCTGGACTGGTGGAGCTACGCCTGGTTGAACGAGGGCTTCGCGGCGTACTTCGAGTATTGGGGAATGACGGGGCCGGAGCCCGGTTGGAGCGTCGACGAACTCGCGGTTTACATGGAGATGCAGGATGCGTTGAGGGTGGATTCGTCCGACGTCACTCATCCCGTCACCTTGGACGGTTTGGAGGGGGGGCTCGTGGGGATCATATATGCTAAGGGAAGCCGCATGCTGAAGATGCTGGAGTTGCTGCTCGATCGGGATTTTTTCCCCGGTCTCACCTCGTATCTGGAAGGGCAGGCGTTCGGCACGGTCACGAACGACGACTTGTGGGCGTATCTCCAGGACGCGACGTCGGCGGACCTCGGCGGCCACACCGTCAAGGAAATCATGGATCCTTGGACCTTGCAGGCGGGATACCCGTTGATACGCGTGGATCGGGATTACGAGACCGGAGGGGTGACCGTGAGTCAACGACGGTTCTTTGCGGATCCGGATGCGGATCCGGATCCGAGTCTCTGGATCGTTCCGATCAGCGTCGCCACGCCCCAGATGCCCAACGACCGACGACCTGCGTTCTTCCTGTCCGGACCCGAAGCGTCCTTCACCCTCGACCCCACTCCCGGAAACGAGGACTACCTCTTCCTCAACGTCGATGCCTTCTGCTTCTATCGGGTCGACTACGACGTTCGAAACTGGAACTCGCTGATGCGACAGTTGGAGCTGGATCACACGGCGATTCCCGCCAACAACCGGGCCCAACTCTTGGACGATGCCTTCGCACTCGTCTCCTCGGGCGAACTGAGCGACTACGAGATCCCCATGGCCACGACCAAGTACCTGAGGAGGGAGACCCGATTCGTTCCGTGGGTGAGCGCCTCGACGCATCTCGAGTTCGTCCATCGCATGTTCAGGTTCACCGACTCCTTCGACCTGTTCCGAAGCTACATGCTGAGTCTGTTGGAGGATCCCTTCGCCTCGACGCCCTTCGAAGCCCTGGAGGACCTCCCGGACTCTTACCCCGACGTTTCCGACTGGCTCTACGCCGAGCTCATACAGAGTCTGGCGTGCACGATGGGAAGCGTGAGCTGCAGGGACGCCGCCTCCGCCTCGTTCCGAGGGTGGAAGGCCTCGTACGACCCCGACGATCCGGACGCGGTCGCGCTCAGTCCCAACGGTAAGAAGACCGTCTACGTCGAGGGCGTGCGTACCGGAGACGTCGACGATTGGAACTTCGCCTATCGGCATTACGGACTCACGAATTACGAGTCGGAGAAGGACCTCGTGCTCCTGGCCCTGGCTTCCGTCCCCGATCCCGAGATTCTCGCCGATTTCCTCCAAGACATATTGTCGACCGACTCCCCCGTTCGACGGGAGGACGGAGCCAAGGCTTTCGCGTACGTCGCCTTCAATCCCGAAATCCGATCGGGAGCCTTCGACTTCCTCTCTCTGAATTGGGACGCCTTGAAGGCCAGATACCAGGACATGAGCCCCTTCGTCGCCGCATTCCAAGACTTCAACACGCGAGACGACCTCGACTCGTTGACGAGTCTGAGGGACGACCACCCTGGAGATGCCGACGCCTTCGCGCCGACGCTGGAGGCGGTGGAGAGGAACGTCGCCTGGATGGATCGACACTTCGACTTCCTCGTCGACTGGTTGGGTTCCAATGTCGTCTCGCTCTGATCGTCCGGTGTCATTTATTATTATTATAGCAAACATCGTTTGCTGTTGTGCATCGATGGGAGTTTCATTGGGTTTCGAATCGGAATTCATGCGGAATATATATATCCAATTGAATGCAATGAACCGTTTTTCGATTCCTTCTCACTTGGCACTTACTGTCGGGGTGAGTTCTGCTTTGGGCAGTGAGGGAGAGGCAGGACATATTGTGAGAAAAATCCCAACTACACATGGATTATAACCCCGCTTTCGGAATGGTTAGCACGGTCCTAAGCGTGAACCTCCTGTGAAGAAATGGGAAGAAAAATCGGATTTAGCACCTTTTTAAAGAGAAGTTTTTTTTGTTTCATAATGTCATTCTTGCCCGGTTTTCAACTGGACGAATTCACATTCACGACTGCACAATATATTTCAGATTTGCACATGTCTGTTACAACTGCACGTTAAAATATGCCCTGGGGATAGGATCGCTATTCTTTGTCTTCTCTAATTATATCATGACAACAGGTTGAAGCAATATGGTCAAAAGCGAATCTAGAGGGCGGCTTCGAAGTTACTTATGGTCACAGTGGAATGAGAACGAAATTCATCATGATGAAATGTATTTTCACATTTTTGCTCAGAAGTTACTTTGGGACAAAGACAGTTAAAATCGTCAAGGTCTCTTCCGATTGCTTTTCTTCGTCTTCTCTAATTATATTTCTTTCTCTCTCATCTAAGAATCGCTCCAGGAAAATTTTAAGCCCATCTACCCGGGGTTGCGAAGAAAACTGAATCTTGTTTTTGGAGGATGTGAATTACTTTCTGTTTTCTTTTTTTTTTTCTCTCCCTCCCCTGGCTAGCCACTCCTTTTTTTTCGGCGGAATAAGACCAACCATGAGAAAGTTATTGACTTGTAGATGACGAAAATTGGCTATTTTTGTCGTTCGCGATGCCCTATTTCGCCATTAAAAAAAAAATGAAATTAGCTGTTGTTCAATTAGGCTTAGAGTGCTTGCTTCGGTACTGCCCCCCAGTGTTGCTGGATACCGTGCAGAGATTATTCCAGATTCAAGATGGCGTCTGCATCTTCTGCTTTTTAACATATGAGACATTTTTGTGCCGAGTTCACCAGTTGTTATCCGGACATCCCTGAGTTATCAGGATGCCATGTACCATGAATTGCATGCTTCTTCAAGTCATTTTCCCCTCAGGCCTATTTGATATTGTCCGAGGAACTCCAGATACGCCGAGCGCTCCACGTCCCAATGAAATGGTTCATGATACGCGAAATGGCCTCAAATTGGTCTCACGTTACATGTCCTATTCCAAATGGTTCGTGAACGTATGAATAGGCCTGCGATTGGCTTAACGTAATCAACCAAATGTCTGGAAGACCACGATTCACTCTTATAAGCCTAATTGGCACCGTAAGACGAGAATTGAATTTCTTCCTGCCGTTAGAGACTCCCGTGGAGAGGTTGAAGAAAGGGAAAATCATTAATAATTTGTTTCCAAATCATTTCAAATACCATTGAAAACGATCAACTGTGTTTCGATCGATTTAGCACTTTATTTAGCACTTACTCTCGGGGCAATCTCTGCTCTGGGAATGGAGAGTGAGGTTATCCGATACTTTAATTAGAAAGAGGCCGAAAGTTGTGGTGGCTTTCACCCCTGACCGAACTGCTCCATATCTTGATTTTAACATTTTCAAATTCCGTCCATTAGACGGCCAGCGTAGCGGCCGCTAGTCGTTTCTTTATTTTCACTATTTGCGACAATGACATCGAATGAAAAGCTTCCCTACAAAGTGGATCGAGAATGATGTGCCCACTTCAATATACTTGCTCGAAGCGGAACAAACATAGGCAGCGTAATCTGAGTCATAACGTCATATTTTTCATTTTTCATTCCAATTTTGTTTCAGTATAGAAATGTGGCCCAGTGGCGTAATGGATAGCGCGTCTGACTTCGGATCAGAAGGTTCCAGGTTCGAGTCCTGGCTGGGTCGTGCTTCTTACTTGCTTTTGCTTCGTCTAAATCTCCATGCGAATGGAAAAGAAAAGTGGTTTTGCTCTCATCAGATGTTCAGACGTCATCATCAGACGTTTGATTCGCTCCATGGGTAGACTTACCCAATTGCCTCCACATTACTAACCCAATTACCTCCATGAAAGGTTGGTGAGTGAATCAATCCAAAAAGGAGCAATTCCAAGGATACAAAAACTGAAAATTCTACAGTAAAACTTTCATTTCTGTCAATTTGTTTTTGTCTCTGATGTTCTCCTGCTTCAAAGTCTAGCGCGATTGAGCTCCAGGACCCTTCATATTATATTTATTGCTGTTTGAAGTAATCAACTGCACCAAAAATGTTCCACCCTTAACAAGAAGCTTTTTACAGGGTGCGCCATTAAGTCTTATGGCAAAATGACCGTACCATGACCGTACATCCAATGTACATATAGCAAAAACTTTGTACTTTGGTAGTTCCTTATCAGTGCTGCACATAGCTGCATAGGGGAAGCCTTGCAACGCATCATTCATTTTTTTTTTAGAAAGAAAATTAAACTCTCTAACTTAACTTTTTTTTAACGCTTTGAATAATTTCAAATTTTTTTGCTGTCGGAAAACTTTTTGGTAAAATGTATTTATCGTTTTGAAGCATATTTTCGATTAAAACTTGATCAAAAGCATATTACTTACTATTTATTGTTCCAGTAGGTAGTAAGTTTAATTCCCATTGCTGATCCAGCGATGGGATCACCCTGGTGTACTGTGATGCATGTGGCCGGGAGGGGAGGGCTGGATGGCGTGAGAGTACGAAGAAAAGGCAGGGGACGGCCGGGAATCGAACCCGGGCCTCCTGATCGCCGGTCTGGTGTGCTACCGTTGGACCACCGAATCGAGGTGTTAGTCGTTCCTTTCAACGCCATCACAGACACTACAGTACCCTGGAAAAGTACCCAGGGGAGGGAAAATTTTGGATGGAAACATAGCTCTCGACCTTCCCCTGGATGAAAGAGGAGGCCATGCAGTTTGGCACTGGCTCCCGAATGCATTAAGGAATAAACATACCCAGCAAACATAGTAACGTTGTGGGAACGTTCCCCCAGAGTCAATGCAGTGTCATCGACGTTGAAGGTCAAAGGTCAACGTTGTGTGAATATTGTAGCCGTGTTATGGCATTATATCTTTTTAAATCGCATTTTAAAATAATTTGTATGGTATTTTCATGGAATATGCATCGCCAAATAGGGAAAAATATTTTTTTTTTTTCGCCAAACGATAAAAACCTATCCAGTGTTACTACCCCAGTAATACCGGATATTGGGTGAATGCTGGACCAACAAACCAATTTTGCCATTCCATAATCGATGCAATATCAAACTGACGCGATGATCCAATGTGCCCAATTTCCAATGAGGAGTTAATTTTGAGGAAATGCTGGAGTTCTCCTCTTGCCCACTAGATGGAGGTATGAGTTTTGCTTTTCGCACAATACACAAAAGTACACTTCCCTCTTTCCATGGAAACATCCCTCACAAGATTGATTATTACCTCACCATATGTTTTTCATTGCCTCATTATAGCAATCAATAAAAAAATTGGACACTTACTAATTCATTATCCATATATTCGAGACAGAAACATGGAGCCCAGGCAATACATAAGCACATACTCCTTATGAGAAACCCTTGCATCCTAGTCCATAATTACATATAAAGAGTTTCTACAAACTCTATCATATACAATGGCTCAATCCTCCGTACCTGACAGGTAGAATGACTTTTCCACTCCCAGAAAAGAAAGGAGGATTTCTGTACTCCACAGAGCAGAAAGGGGATACCCGTTCCTTGTAAAGTACTAAGATTAGTACTTTCAGAACAAAATTAAACTCATTGCCTTCATTATTGACCAATTATGGAATGCTATCAATACAAGGGTGGGATTGAAGGTTCAAATAAATGACATTGCAATGTTGGCTCAACGTTCAGCCAGTGCTGAACTTCAACGTTCGTCTGAGTGTTCCGATAAGCGACATTGCAATAGTGACTTAATGTTAGCTGCAACGCCAACCAAACACTAGGAAGGTTCAAAATTAACGTTCATACAACGCTGATTGAATGTTAGTATGTTTGCTGGGGCGTTCGTAAATATGAACAGGTGGGCAACCATAACGAACGTTGCGTTCGTAATGGCTGCCCTCCAGTTTGTGACAACCCAGCGTGGTCATCGAAAATTTATCCTTCATGGCTATATCTACCTACATGACAAGAAAGTTGGGCGGAAGAATTACTGGCGATGAGAACACAGATCCTGCACCTCCTGACATCACGGCAAAGGTGACATTGTGAGGTCGCCATCCCAGCTACCTTTCCCATGCACCATCATCAAGTCGCGTCATTAAGGCTGTGGTGATGTCTGATGTTCGTCGTCTAGCCCTTGCTTCTGAAAGTTCATCCAGCAGTATCGTGAAGAAGGCAACAGAAGACATCTCCATCATCGCCACTCCTGCTCTCTCCTCCAATGCTGCATTGTCGCAGATAGTCAGTCGCAAGTGACGGCGACAACTAGATGATGAAGACCCAAATAGCGCGTGCATCATTCCTCGGCGTCTATAGTGCACAACGCCGACGGTCAGGGCTTCCTGATTCATCCTGGCGAAATTATTGTCTTTGCATCAGAGCAAGCATTATCCGTCCCTCCTGCAGCCGATCACTGTTCCGCCATTGGGACTTTTAACGTTGCCTCACCTGGTTATACTCGGCTATACACCCAAAGTGGCACACTGACGTTGAATCGACATTGATTCAACGTTATTGCGTGAACGCAGCTAATGTTGAAGCCACCTGCGCCTGTCAACATTGATTCTACATTGAAAGTTCATTTTTATCAACAATTGAATCAACTTTTTCATCAACGGTATATCAACAATGATTCAATGTTCAACAGCAAAATTGCAACGTTGATTCAACATTTGCTTTTTAACGTTTATTCCATATTGAAAATTCATTTTTTTCTGCAACGAAGAAATGTTGACTCCACGATGGTTCAACGTTGATATGACAGGTATCAACAATCTGTTCTTTTAACTTCATACATTTTTTGGCATAATACTGAATTGCCAAACCCTTTCATTGAGAGTATAGTATAGTATTGTCTTTATTCCTCATTTAGAAAGGGCCTATAGAGTCGTCACAATATAAGTATAATTCACTTGGTATGTATTGCTCTAGCTTAAGATGGAAAGTGTTGGGGTGGAGATTAGAAGGGGCTGAGGATTTCACCAATGTTATATAACTTGAATTCAGAATTAGGATTGATCGTTGTCTGGATTTGAGACACTTGGGATTCAGGTTGATTAAAGGTTTGGGTAGTCTATTATAGAATTTCAACCCATCATACTTGAGGTGCCCCTGACATTGTTCAGTGCTCATTCTCTTAGTAGCTAGAGCACTGTTGTACCTCGTATTTAGTTGATGTTTTTCACCCATGGTAAGTAGTGACCTTCTAATTTCATTTGGGAATGACCATGTGAGTTTCCAAGAACATGGTAGAAAAGACTGAAACTACTTTGCTGTGTTTAAAGAGGTCAGGACATGAGGTCTATTTATTTGTGCCTAAATCACTAGGAGAGCCCATTTTTTGAAATCTCAGGATCCTTACCAGTAGTTGGTGTGCTGCAAAGCCCCAGACCCTAATCCCATATCTTGTATGAGATTCAAGCAGGGTAAGAAGAACCCAGGGTTTTCTGCTTATCAGGCAAGTAGGGTGCTTAGATCTGCTATAGCCCTACTTAAGACCTGTTTTCTCCAATGGTGATCCTATGGTCATCTTGCAACACATTTTGTTTATTTTCAGAAAGGAAATCATTCCCCCTCCCCCAATGGCATAGCCAGGATTTTGCCAATGGAGGACTAAGCTGATTGGTGGGGGGCTAAAATTCTCCTTACTTCCCCTTGCCCCAGGGGGTGGCAGTTGCATTTACCCCAGAATTGGGGGGGCTTTACCCCCCCCAGCTCCCTCCCCCTCCTTCTCACGAACATCAGGCACCTGTTTCATTAGATTTTTAGATCCTTGGGAGCATCATGCTATTGATCTTGATTCATTGATCTTTGTATGGAAAAGCTATTTTGCTTATTTCTTAAATGCAGAGATTTCATTGGTTTTAAGATTGGGTAGTTGGGCTCATTAATTTTAGTTTCTGCCTGAATGTTGCTTACATCCATTTTACTATTATCCCAAGTTATTAGATGTTTCATATAGTGAAGATGCACTTCAGTTCCAGTCCAGTTCATATAATCTTCATAGATTGGAGGTTAACAAAGTTTAGACCAGAGTTGATCTGAACACCCAAGTAATCCACTTCGATGCTTGAGTTTCCTGTAAGGATCCACATTTTGGCTTCTTCATCTTGACAACTGTTACTTTGTATCACTCAACTTGGATGTATTTTAAACTTCATTGAATAAATCTGTAAAAAAGGTTGCCCTATGCCTATACATGGAAAGTTTAGTAAATTATCTCCAGATGATCTATAAATTAGAGTATATCTACTGTAACCAAAGTGTTTTATGAAGAGTTTTTCAGTCTAGTTCATGTCCAGTTAACTGGAATTAAAACTAACATTAAAGTGCCCTTGTTTCATTTTTGGTAATGAGATTTCATGAAAATATGACAGCATCTGTCAAGTCAAGTCGAAACTGGACAAGGATATGAATTTTCATAGTGTTGTAGCCAGAAATAGGTGAAGCCTACATTTTCCTTGAAAAGAAAGCCCTACAGCATTACTTGGTGCTATTATGAGACCCAAGTCACATGGCCTAAGCAATAGAGGGATGGATTCCTTGAATCTTTTGAATTGAATGTCTTTTTTTGAAGAGATAGAAATAGTCATTAGTAGTGGGTGATTCCAAAGTTGTGAAGCCTGAAACGTTTTTAAAATGTTAAGGAATTCATGCTAAGACTTCAGATTCAGAGGAGTGTACCATTAGATGTTCATCATACAAATCACTCATTGCATGTTCTAGAAGGGAATGCCAAATTCTTGGATGCATGGAAGTATGCAATGTTGCATACTTTGCTGTGTGCAATATCTTTAATATCAATATCAATAATTCAGTTATCTTGTTGATCCCTTTAATCCAGAATATACACCATGAAATAATGAGATTAATTAAAGACATATTTTGAGGTAAAACCATGGTGTAGCTCCTTATCACCAGAAATGTTTATTAAATTAAATTTTATGAGCTCATAATCATTCCATGTGAAGCTGAACTGCTGTTTGTGCAATGCTTCCATAATGCATCATAATAGGTATGTTTTTCATAAACAACAATACTGGGGCCAAAATAACTTTGTCATTTTCATTAGCAAATTAAAACCTATAAAATAATAGAAGTACAATGTCACAACATGTGTTTTTGACATTTGTGCCTGGAATATTAACCCTTTCATCGTGATGCCTGTAATATCTCACTCATTCAATACCACTCATTTACTGGAAATCATTCCACTAGTGCAACCCCCAAGTATACTTGTTTTCAAACTTTACAGTCCCTGTGCAGGTCCCTGTAATACCACACTTTCAATGACAGTCAACTCTCAACATACTCCCACTGTTGATCTTGACCAGTTTTGGCACTATATGGAAGGTGGTGCTAAAAGAGTGGTGCTGAATTGAAATGCATGGCTTTAAAATGAAGAATTTTTTTCTAATTTATATGAAATATGCACCAAATTTCACTTTAATTAATCCATGCTACCAATGGTCCATGCATCATAATACACTCACTACACAGGTTTGAAAAATGGTTCAATCTATTCCATCCATTATTAAATCCAATGACTTCTTACTTTTAATTAGTGTAACTCCTATGCACTGTCTATTCAAATTATTGCCCCAAAACACTGAAAAGTGGTTCGCAAAGTTTTGCTGACTGAAACCACATTTGCCTCCTAATGGCACACTTCCAATTTTCCTTCACCTAAAACTACCCTTTTCTCCATCACTAGATAGTGAAAAAACTTGGACTATTGTCTGGAGAAGCTGCGTGTATTCTTAATGAAACATTTCCATTCTCCAAAAGAAGAGAGAGGAATAGGCAACCCTATATGTCCCTTTCTAGTCTCTGGAGGCCTAATCTAATGCTAAGTCATCCCATACAATCTTGATATGTATTATGCAGCTGAAAGTAGCAACTGGTAGCATTACATATTACGTACAATATGATTGTGGTTGGTAAAGTATGTTGCTTGACCTAATATTGAGTGAGACGTGCAGAATAAGATGCGTTTGTGCAAGTAAAGGTGTTGGTGGATGGCAGCTAGCAAGGGTGGTGCTATAATGGGGGAGCACCTATGGTAAGTGTATGGGAAGATTTGTTCTCAGGTAAGAGTTGGCAGTAAGCAAGAGTGGCGGTATATCGAGGGTTGACTTTTATACTTAGTAACCTAAAAGTTGTTGCTTTATATCATGAGGACTACCAAAGAAACAGCACTTATGGGCTTATACATAATTAAAAACTCTATAGTGAAAGGGTTAAATCAACATTGTATTAATTCATGAAAATTGTGCTTTCACCTAAAAAAAAACAAAGATCCTTCTCTGTTATAAATTAATAACTGATAAAGCAATTAAAATAAAAACTGCATTTAAATTGCATGTGTCTTTGATGAGTGCTAGTGATAATTAAGTTTTAGCTCTTTTGATCAGTTGAATATGCTGTAAACATCTGCAAGCAGAAAGATATGGATCCACTAGTTGTACTTGTGTCACTTCTGTTGATTAACCCCTTGACTGTCAAGTTTTTGTGTAGAATTTAAAACCTTGACAGCAAGTTTTTCTGAAATGCTGAACTTTTTAAGATACAAAAGGAAAAATATGAATCCAGGACTTGTAAACATTGACAAATGGTATTTCCATTTACTAAAATGGCACTGTTAATAATATGCTATCTCTTTTCATTTGAGAAACTTCTAAGTGACCACAGTATACTAAACTCAAGAATTCTTGGGCATGATACTTGAGACCTGATGTCCAATACAGGGGACTTGGGGAGTTGATGCCTTCTGTATAGGTGTAAGTTTGGTTGCCCTTCAGGCAAACAAACTCAATGGCTGCACCTTTGCTACTCACAGTTATTGGTATTTTTCATTGTGGCGTCAAGTCACTTCTGGTTGTGTGATGTCATTGCCAGCCAGATGTTAGCAACATTAGACAAACAGGGATTTGCATTTTCCACCTGAAAGGTAATTGTGAAATATATCGATCATCCATTACCTTTTATATCACAACTGTGAGAGCTGTTTTCAGAAATAAAAAATATTTTAAGGTTACCCATTTCTCCACCTTTTACAAGGGGTGGATGAATGTGGCTTTCTATATTTTCACCAATGATGGTCACTATTCCCATTGAGAAATTGCTAAATGAATGCATCCCTATTTGAGGGATTCTATGAAATCTGAAGGATGATGTTCTGGTGAACTTCAGCAAAAATTGTTCCTCAAGCTGCATAATTACTTGGGTGATGATCAGACTCATTCTGTGATCAAGTGTATAGCTCTTTTGAAGTTAATTTACCTTCAATTTAGCTAAGGTTCTTTCTCTATGGTGAGTTAGGGAGATGATTCGTGTCATTCAAACCTCATGCAGCCAATGAGCGAGTCCTTCTCAGTTTTCCTTGCCAGGCATTCTTATTTGCTCTACTTCTCCAATAAGCTCCTCAATCACTTCACCAGTGAAATTTGATGATTGGCAATTCTTTTCTCCTCTCTCCATGATGGCAAGGTTGAGAAGTTGTCAGGAACCTATCTATTATTTTGCATTTCAGAAACCCTCAGCAGATTTTTTTCAGCAGGACAGCCTTAAGCTTATTAGAAGTTTCATGAGGACTTCCAATAGTTTTCAAACTTTCTATAAGGTGCCATTTGTGCTTGACAACCATATGGTAAAATAGCAGAGGTCTGGTGAAACAATTATTGTCAGTGACCCTGCCTAGGGTATTAAAATGCACTGCTCTTCAGTGAATTCTACCTCTTTCTCTTGGTGTGTAAATTATTGATGAACCATGCTTCATGTTCTTTGGCCCACCCCTATAGATTGGATAATCTCATGTTCAGTGCCTCTCACAGCCTGCAAACTTTTGAAACCATGCTTTTTGGGATCAGGAACCTTCTTTCATGCATATTTCAAATGTCATCTTCTGTCCTTAGAAATTCTATTAACACTCACCATTCTGTCCTTATTTTGTGTTCTACTTATTTTTATCATGATCTCAAAAGTTAATTAAGCTTGATTCATGTGCAATACGTCAAGGCTGCAAAAGTTTTGATGGATTTGTACAAAACTTGCTTCACTCAGAGAGCTTGATAACAAAGGAATGTAGCCTGCCAAGTATGGAGTATATCAATGCTGGTAGGTGAAAGTCAAGGGGGTGTAAGTTGCTCCATCAAGTGCTTTCAGGGCTGACCCCAAAAGATACCATGACAGTAGGGCAACTTTTTGCCTTGGTTTAGGAAACACCTGGTTCTTTTCAAGTCTGATGCCAGGCCATATTCTCATATGCATGTGCTCTCCTTTTTATTTTACAGGGGGGTATTGACACAAGCAGTGTGAAAAAGCCTGTAGATGGTGCAGGTGATTCCAAGTTGGCAGATGATTCCAACATATGCCAATGTATCAATGGAACCCTAGTTACTTCAATCATGTGTTTCAGTGTCCTTCCATTTCCATAATGCTCTATGAAACTCTGAGGCCATCTCAAACTTGGAATTGTGAGGTATGAATGTGCATGAGAGAGTAAATTTGTTGCTATGGCAAAATCTCATTATCACCAATTTTAGGTCATCCTAACTTTGCTGATGTTTTTGCAAAAGAATAACATATGCCAGTTGTTTCTTTGTATGTGTCATTCTGATCCAATTCATCCAATGTGGCAGAAAGTGTTTGCTCTCACTTTTCTGATTTGTTTGCCAAGTGTTAGCTGAAAGGCATTGAAATGGAAGCCACAAATTCAAATTTTCAGTTTTGTATGGGTAGTGGTTTTCATGATACAAATGATTTTCCACTAGTATCTGAAATCAAGCATAAATAATATGACAGTACTTTGTTTACCTTTGAAGGGGAAGGGCTTGAAGATTTAGTTCAGTTTGCATGCATGGCCAGATACTTCAGTTCAAAAATTTTTGGCCTTGCTGGTAGATGAAAAAAATTGAATAAATGAATGCCATCTATTTAACAGAATCCTCAAGTGAGTGATCCAACCAGTTTCACAGAGCCATATCTCCCACATCTATCATAAAAAGGGCATGAAGTATGCAGGATTGATTAATCACATCTACATGATAATTTAGCCCCTTGAAAACACCTGGTTTTGGACAATTTCCTGCCATCATATGCCAGAATTTTTGTATTAAATAATATAATATTTTGTTTCTGCATTAAAGTTTTCTTCTTCACTCACATCAGCACTCTACTTAACATCTTAAAGATGAATATGAGGGTTGTTCAATAAATAAGTTTACAAGCTGTGCTATGTCATGAAGATTTTATTGATGCCAGTACCAGCCAGATACCTGGCTGAGATGCAGGTTAGGATCTTCATTTTTACATGTAGTCACTGTATTTGTTGAGGCATTTGTCTTATGATACGAGCTTCTATATGCCATCTGCCTAGGCAATAGGACTCAGGTCAATAAACCACTTTCAAATGGTTGACTGCAGCTTGTTGTTAGTGGTAAAGTGCCATTAGCCAAGGTCTTTCTTTAGGAGCTGGAACATATGGTGGTCACTTGCCACAAGATTAGGGCTCTAGGGAGGGTGTCCTAGAACTTTGCATCGAAACTGTTGCAAGTGGTTGGTTGTTCATTGAGCAACATGTGGATGTGCATTGTTGTGTAAGACCATGACACAAATCATATGCTTTCATCACTGCATACCAGGCCACCAGGGCCAATGAAGCAGGTGCTATTGAAGTGCACCAAATCCCTACTTCTCACACAAAGGAGCACAGAGTAGCTTGTGCATGAGCCCAAAGGAGAGCAGAAAGTGCCCAAAAGCATCTGGGTGAACTGTCAGTCCAGGGGAATACCACCTGTTGCTGGTTGGATTTGATCCTGTACCTCCTGTGTGCTAGCCTGAGATGCTATCCACTGAGTCATGGTGAATGTGCAATTTTGCAATTCATGACGACAGGACATTCCCTGGAAAGCAATGGTGACCTGGACTGTCACCTGTGTCTGCAATCATGCAATCAGTTGCTGTGGTAAATTTGCACCCACAGTTCATGACAGAGCAAGAATTTAAAAGGGAAATGGAGAGCTTTGCCCAAAAGCACCATTTCTCAAGGCTGCTTGAGGCATTTTCATTGTGCCCAAAAATGGACCTTCATGCAGAAATAATTAAACTTGTTTGTGAATCAGATTGAAAAATTATTTCATATACCTTTTTTGTTATTATTTCAGCTTCCCTAGAAATGGCAATGAGAGAAATGAACATCGCAAATTTGCCAAAACTTCCAGCAGCATTTCTTCATAATTTTGCTCTCTCTCAATGAGAAAACTGGGAAATTATAGTATTCCAGGTGATGTTATTTCTGCTGAATAATTTTTATATGACAATTTTGAGGATCTTATGTTTCATGGATATAGTTCAATGGTGTTTTTCCTGTTGAAAATATTACATGTATCGTGCTGTAAATATCACAGAAGGGAAAAGTTGGTTACTACAGGATGGGACAGAACCTTTTTCTCCCCCCCTTCAACTCAGTGTTTTAGCTGTTGACTTAATTGGGTAAGATCTGAAAGCCTGAGTCATTTGAATTGTTTCTGATCATTTTCCAGATAAATATTTCAAAATGGCTGGTAATTATGACTGCAATAAGCAGAGAGGGATTGAAATAATTATATTTATTATTGCGTTTTGCAAGGCTTGAGACGCTCCTGAAGTCCTCCAGAGAAACCTTACCTAAGTGCACCATGGCATGGAAAACTGAACAGATTTGTTTTGAGAACTACTTGAATCCTATCCTTGTTGCCTGTGGGCTGTTTGTCTTGCAGGTGGTGGTCACATAGATTATTGAGTCAGTCATATGCGTTTCATTTTTATTCAGGAATACAACACTCAGTTGGTTTTTTCCTCTTTTATGTTGTAGTACAGGGGGGAGAAAAAGATTGTCATTCCCTGTACATGGATTTCATTGAATATATTCAAGTCAGTAAACTAATCTTAGAAGGAGAATTTCTTGATGCACTCACAAAAAATGACAGGTTTTTTGTTGTTCTTTAGATGAACACACCAATTCATTGATGTTGTCTTTCTGCTTCAATGTAATCCTTGTTCCTTGTACTTTTTCTCAAGATTTAAAATTTCTGTCCTCTTTTTGTGCTCTTCACACTTGCATTCCTATAAGTACATATTCCTGTGAAGGATTTTCATAGCCTCATTGATGGGGGAAAAATGAATTTTTCCCATTGCATAAGGAAAATAGGCAACAAATAGGTGGACCTAAAAGAATGTGCATGTCTTTTTTTGCATATTCCATCCTATATTAACCCAATAGCATTTTCTTCTTATGGAATATAATGTGTCAAGCAGCCTCCATGGAAACTAAAAATCATGAAGCATTTTCAGAAAATTTTGTGATTTCACCATTTCAGAATGGAAATCTTGGATAGTTTTGGCTCATTGGTTTTGTTGCTTTTCTTTGTTGCATGCCAATTTTTTTATCCCCTGTGATGGAAAAGGTCTTAATGCACAAAAGCCAAAGGAGCTTCTTCTCTGTGACAAACCAATTTTCCAGTCTAAGATGTTTGGCCATGCTTTCACTCATATTGATGCAGTTATTCTCTCTCTGTGATGAAATATGATACATACGTATAGTAATTGCATGATTTAACACAAAAGGACAGGGAATTGGCACAGAGAAAGTAAACTGAAAACAATATCATCCTATGCCTTGCCTATGCCTTGGAGGCTGACATTTGCAATTTCAGCTCACCCATATTGCCCTATCTTTTCCTGACCAAATTGCCTTAGAGTTAGTAGATACTAGCAAGCCAGAAGTTGCTGAATCCTGAAAAATATAACATATTTCTTAGGAGTCATTATCCAAAGGAGGGAAGGAAATGTTTGCTACTGGGAAATTGAAGAACATTTTCTACCTCAGCTTTTTGTCATTCCAAAATTCTCATGCTCTATTTTCACTGGCAAGACAAAAATCGTAGTTTTTGTCAAAGACATTTTCATCCTACTTTCCACTGACAATTTCACCATTATTATGAGTTGCATTTTAGAAAGAAAATAGGCTATGGAGCATCTGCCCTTCCAGCAACACAGTTCCCATGAGATGTGAAAAATTAGCAATGGACATTCCTTTGCTCATCTATCAAGAAATTAGCCATATCCAATCAATTAAACCAACTGTAAGCATTCTTGTAAGTGTAAAAATAATTAATGACATTAGATTCGAAGCTGGACATTTTCTTAATGTTGCATAAGACGTAAATAATTTAAAAGTACTTATCATTAAAATACTTCTATTGGAATGTTGAACAAACTATGCCACAATATTACTACTTCATGAATGCACTTTGTACTTAGGGAATTCCTTAGCCTTAGTGTTTTTGAGAGGGTAGCAATGTGAAACTGCTGTTTCTCCCCATGGAGGCATTTGGCCAGACATTTCACTTCAGACTGTTGCCAAGAAAGCATGCATTTCATGGTGTGTTTAGGTCATTGGCATGGCATAACTATTTGTGCATGGGCAGGAAAATTAATTCAGAAGCAACTTAGAAAACAGAATTGATTGAAATTTGGCTCATGAATATGCCATTAGAGGGAGACATGAGGACCAGTTACTCAAAGAGGCACAGGAGATATTATGGCAGCAGCTCATCGACTGGAACCTGTCTCCTCCTCCTTCTTGTTTGTGCTGTGCAGGTTGTTGTCCAAGTCCTGGCTCAAAATTCTGGTGAGATGCTGTGCATCATATATGTAGGTTTAGACTTGACAATTTATTCCCTGGCTTAAAATTTATATGGTGATGAATGTGCTGTTAGCTTGTGTAAAGTGGGTATTACTTGTTCCAGTTTTCATCAAGGTTGAGGAGGATGGTGCAGAGGCCACAAGCCCTTCTTTAAATCAGGTTGGTTAGTTTCAGTCATTCATCTCATGAGGAGTTCCATTGCAAAGCTGGCCCTTTTTACAATGACTTTCAAGTTCACGGGTCATAGATCTATTAGCAATAATGAGTGCTGCCTCACTACTTGGAACTTGAATAATAGCAATGATGGAGCAAGAGGACAACCTGTGTATACTTATTCAACAACAAAAAAATCTCATATGTTGGAAGCTTTCTACAGATGAAATTGGAGTTTCTGTCATGAGTCTGTGCTGCATTCCAGTCTACTTGTATGGGTAATGATAACAGTACAGGCCCTGTTTGTACTATTAGGCTCAAGTAAGAAAAATTAGAAAAATAAACTTCTCAAGCATGCAAATTCCTGCAGTTTTCTTTGGTCATAAAGTTTTGCTTTTGCCATAACAGTCTTTAACATAGGACTCATTGTAATTATTTAAAGTAATGAGGTTTACTGGGCTTACAGGCTACATACCCAAATGAATTATACTCACTACCACTGTGTTTTGATAAAGTAAACATCTAAATGATATAAAAATGGCAAAATTTTGCAGCATATGCATTTACCACATGTGGCTGCAACCTGAAAAATTTCTAGGAAACATGTTAATATCCAGCTGTAATTGCTATTTTTAAGCAATTACAGCTGGATATTAACATGTTAAGTTGAGAATGGTTATCATTTTGAAGTATCTCTGGCTGGATTTTTTATGTTTCCTAGAAAGGTTTTTGCTTTCAAAACAAGTTTGTGCTGTGGTGAAGAAAAACTATCATTATGGAACTGCTGAAAGAGAATTTAAAAATACCTGGCTTATGCTGCAAAAATCAGTCAAATTTCAAGAAATATACATCTAGCTAGTTACAGTCACACACAAGTAAATTTTCTGTAATATTTAACCATTTTAATATTATTTTTGTCCAATTTATCTAAGCACAGGGGTTGTGAAAAATAATGAATTTCTTTGGGTATGCAACCTGTCAGCCCAGTAAACCTTATTATTTTAATTAATTATAATGAATCTCATGTTATCAATTGTTATGGCAAAAGCAAAACATTTATGACTAAAGAAAACTGCAGAAACTTACATGCTTGAGCTGTTGATTTTGATTTTAGTTTTTATTGCTTGAACCCAATAACATGGACAGGATCTGTAGATAGTGCAAAATTCAAACATGGGCATTCATTAAGTCAACTGCTCATATTTAACTCATTAGCCACTTTCTTCAAAATCTTAATATGAAATCTAACTCCAATCAATATGACCTTATCTATTCTGACGTGTTATGATTGCAGCAAACATATTAATTTTCTTTTCAGGAGATCCATCATGAAGAATTTGGAGAAGTGCCCAGGTGAGCTACCCTGTTTAAAACATTCCACTTCTATGGATGTAACATACAGAACTACCAATACCAGCAGCTCAGTTGTGGCGTGCTCTAGCACTGCATTGATATGTTGGTCATACTACCATAGGACTGGTTGGCTGTTTTTTTTTTTCTTATTGCCAGAAGAATACATCAGCATTGTGTAGATATTACTGATTGCTTGAGATAGAAAACAAAGAGATTTTATTTAAAAGTTTGGTAGTCAAAAGAAAGAATGCCATGTCTAGGAAAGGTTTTCATGTGAATCCTGCTCAATGAAGGAAGGCATGCCTCAAATATTCTTGTTCTGGATTGCTCAGGAATGGATTTGCATACACCAATGTCATATTCTTGTTCAAGAAGGTTTTCAGGATAGGAAGCAGAGAAAAAAAAAAGTTTATGGCTGAGAGGAGATAAGTAGAGAAAATAAAAGCAAACAGGAGTTGCAGTCACAAAGGGGTTGGAGAGAATAAATCCTGATACTGTCCAGGTTATCAAATATCTTGAGAAAGTGCACCTCCATTCTTCTCTTAAGAGGGAAACAGTAGATTGATGGAGAGCCATCACAAAGTGGAGAGCATATTCCATGTTTGAGCATACTGTGGTTATATATAGCTATTTAGATGCAATGCAAGAATGAAAAGCCTTGTCATTGATGAGGCTTCCTGGAGCACATGCAGTAGACTTGCATTTTGCAAATATGAACATCCCAAGAGAGCTGCTGATTGAGAGTGACCTCAAGAAGCTTCAGGGAAGAATTACAAGGACTGAGAGATAAATTTTGAAAGGTGAGTTGGATACAGGAGGGCTATTTCCAGGACCATAGGAAGGATGCCCAAACAGAAAAATCATAAATGATTTTAAGAGAATTGGTATATCTAATATATATAGACAATCGTGACTGACTGACACTAATTCTAACCATGTTCTAGAAAAGTTATCAATCTCATAAATCTTGGTACACAAGTACCTATTGGGATACAGAGTTCAGAAAAAATCAGATTTTGGAGGTACATGCCCTGGGGGTACACATTTTGGGGGGAGAAGTTTTTAAATATATATTTTTGCTTGAGTAAAACAGAGAGACATGGAAAGCTGTAACTTGGCATGGACGTGCCTACTGAGAGATATTAAATAATTGACAAGATATTAATTAATTATACAGTATTTTATGAGTTATGGACCCTCTTTGGATACAGGCATGTTTCAGGGAATCTCACCATGCATAGATATGACAAAGCATATATGGACTATACTTGTATATGGTGCATTTGTAAGAACTAATATATGAAAATGTAAGGGGTCATATATTTACATTCTCATATGATTTTATGTGACTTGTGTCAAACCCCATATATGTTCAACTTATGTTCATATATGAATTGCACTATATGGTCATATACAGGGTGGCCCAAAAAAAAGTGCACCTATTTTCAAATGGCATTTTCTCGAAAACTATTTATGCTAGTGACTTGAAAGAAAAAGCAAATGAAAGTTCAATTAATTTCCTATCGAATGGTATATGGTTTTATGACCATAGCTCCCATACCATGGCTGCCATGCCCATTTTTAATAAACATGCCGCCAAAAAAAGTTGAGCGGCGAGAAAAATTAGAAATTTCATCGTGTCTTCGCATTGCAAGAGTTCAAAAACATGAAGACTTACCTTTGACTTCAATTTTCAATGAATGGCTCAATGTGGCCTCCACCGTGATCAACCACTTCTCTCATTCTGCCTCTCCACTGGAAATGGCCTTGGCTATGGCGGTCTACAAGAGTTCATCCCAATCCATGCGAATTCACTTCTTCAACTGTTCGACGTCTCGGATTCTTACACCCCAGTACACCTTCTGCTCCAAAACTGACCACACAAAGTAGTCGACTGGGTTGAGGTCAGGACTGCAGGGTGGCCAAGAGCCTGGTTCAATGAAATCAGGGCAGTTGTTCCTCAAGAAAGTGATGGTGTGTTGAGCTGTATGGGCTGGCGCCCCATCTTGCATAAACATGTAGCCATTGGGGCTTTCGTCCTCAATCTCTGCCAGCATGGACATCAGGACATCACTGCAATAACTTTCAGCATTGATTTTAACTCCTCTAGGAATGAATAGAATGGAAGTTTTGCCATGAGATGAGGCTCCAAGTGAGACCATGACTGACTCAGTAAAGTGTTTTCTCTGATGTAAAAGCCTAGCTGGTTCGACATCTCTTTTCCGTTCAACTGCTGCATGAATGCGATCGTTCTGGGTGTTCCTTGGAATCTCAACTGTGAAGCGCTTCTCATCTGTGAACCACACTGTTTTTGCAGCTTTTTGGGATCGGAAACGATTCAAAAGTTTTTTGCACAGCATCACTCGCTTCTTCTTCACAGCTTCCGAAAGTTCGGGAACTGGTACCCATTTGAAGACTTAGAGTCTAAGATCTCGCTTGATGATATGCTGCACAGAAGAACGTGAAATTCCGATTTCCTTCGCAGCTTCACGCTCGCTTTTGCTGGTGCCTGATCTGCCTTCTTGGCTTGAGATGAGGTCACTAACAGCTCGAATGTTCACCTCAGTTCTTACACTTTTTGGGTGGCCACTACCTGGAGCTCGTTTTCCCTTCCCGGTTTGGGAGAGTTTTTTAAAAAAACTTTGCCACGTTTCGTCTCTTCCAGTTTTGATTAGGATATTCATACAGAATTTTGTCTAAGGAATATTCTTTTTCTTTGCGAAGAGCACGAATAATGCTTTTTTCCTCCTCTGTTAAATTGTGATAAACACTCATTTTCACTGTCCTGAAAGGGTAAATCGATAAATTAATTTTATACATGAAGTGGTGTTGTGTGGATGAAGGGAAAACCAGTAATGTCAAGCCATTCGCCTGTGAGGCACTATCAACCGGTCAGGAATCAACTTGGGAGGTCTGAAGAATCACCTCTTTCCCTATGCTAGTCTCATGCTTGATGGAGTGTGAAACACCGGTTGAAAATAAATTAAAGAAACTGAGCGAGTATGTTATGAAATGGAGGATAAAAGGCTATGCCAATGCCGAATGCCAAACTAGCACGTACAAATGTATGCACGCAACTTTTTTTGGTGGTATGTTTTTTAAAAATGGGTATGGCAGCCATGGTATGGGAGCTATGGGCATAAAACCATATACCATTCGATAGGAAATTGATTGAACTTTTGTTTGCTTTTTCTTTCAAGTCGCTAGCATAAATAGTATTCAAGAAAATGCCATTTGAAAATAGGTGCACTTTTTTTTGGGCCACCCTTTATACCCCATATACAGGGTGCGGTAGAATGGAATCCCACATTTAAAAGGTTAATAAAAAAAGAAACGATAAAAGATACGAAAAAAAAACTTTTATTTCTGAAAAGTACATGTAATAAGGTTTCATTTACTTAGGTTTTAAGAATTATGTCGGGCAAATGGCGGCCGTCATGGATGATACACTTCCGAAGTGCTTCCCTGAAGTGTTGCATCACTCTCTTCAGCATATCTCAAGGAATAGTGGCGATTTCTTCTCTTATCGCCTCCTTCAGTTGTTCGAGAGTTTGAGGTCGATGTTTGTGGACCTGAACTTTGAGGTAACCCCACAAAAAATAATCGCAGGGGCTTAGATCAGGGGAGCGAGGCAGCCATTCAATATCGCCCCGTAACAAAATCAGATGTCCCGGAAACATTTCTTGCAAAATGGCACGGGAGCGATGAGTAGTGTGGGACGTTGTTTCTTTGAAGAGGATGACGTCACCGTAACTGTGACTTCCGACCGCTACTGTGGCATGTTGCAGAACTTTTTCCAGCCCCAATTGGCAGAATTTCAAGATCATGATTCAGAGCACTTCTGGTTTCAGCAGGATGGGGCTACGTCCCACACTACTCGTCGCTCCCGTGCCATTTTGCAAGAAATGTTTCCGGGACATCTGATTTCGTTACGGGGCGATATTGAATGGCCGCCTCGCTCCCCTGATCTAAGCCCCTGCGATTTTTTTTTGTGGGGCTACTCAAAGTTCAGGTCTACAAACATCGGTCTCAAACTCTCGAACAACTGAAGGAGGCGATAAGAGATGAAATCGCCTCTTTTCCTCGAGATATGCTGAAGAGAGTGATGCCACATTTCAGGGAAGCACTTCGGAAGTGTATCATCCATGACGGCCGCCATTTGCCCGAAATAATTTTTAAAACCTAAGTAAATGAAACCTTATTACATGTACTTTTCAGAAATAAAAGTTTTTTTTCGTATCTTTTACCGTTTCTTTTTTATTAACCTTTTAAATGTGGGACTCCATTCTGCCGCACACTGTATTAACGGAATATTTTGTGCATTTTGTGCATATCGACCTAGTGAGTCACGCGCTATGTTGTTTAAAGCTTGAAGGTGAAGAAAATGCACCTGACATCCTTGATGATGATGATTTTCATCATTCATTACGAAAGGACTCAGGTCTTGCGTTATCTTCTGATTTGAGGGCTCTAAACAGAACTTATGGGATGCAGCACGAAACAGGAAGAACGTGTAATAAGGGCCAGTAAAGATAGCATTTATGTGCTGACAGATCTTTTCTCTGCCATAAATGAGGATGTGCACTGTAATTCAGTACAACGACACGATCAGGGAATGGAGACGGAAAAACATGAGAATAAAGGTGGAAAATGCGCGATATGGGCCTGGATAGGGTGCTCTTCGTTCATGCTTGGCATTCAGATGACAAGATGGAATCTTTTAATACAGTCAAAATATCCATTCTGGCAAATCTTTTTCCATATCTCTCATGTAGTCAGATCTCGATCAACTTATGGCGAAAACGCATTGCATCCAATTGGGATGAAGATGTTCGGCAAGGCTGAAATTGCTTGTACATGGTTGAATAAGTAGCTGAAAAATATTTTTTAGGATTCCACTTTGACCACACTCATCCACGGCGCCCTTAAAGACATTAGCAAGCGTATCATAAAAGTACTAGCGGCATGTGGCCACAATCGCAAGCCTTCTACCAAGGGACCTATACTTTTTGTTACGGCTCACCTACAAATAATAGTCTTAACCAGAATCCTGTGCCAAAATTCGATGTGCATTTCAATATGGAACATATATATGCGTGAAGCAGATCCTAAGACACAGCGTACTTCATCTGCCAGTATGCGGAAAAATAACCAACAATTATTTCAACGTGTGTAAAGGAAACAAATATGGTAGGAACAATGAAAGATCAAGAAACCAGACCCATGTGTCAATGATATGGAAAGATCATGTTATTATGAACAAATATTAGTCCCTACGAATGAATTTTCGAACGTTCTCATCGGCCAAAGGGAGTGCTTACTCTTGGGAAACAGAATTATAACTACCTGTACCTACTCTACTGAATTCTGACTTCCAAAGAAATGTCGTCGCGAACATTTAATGGCCAAACTAAGGCATCCGAATCAACTCTCTACCGACTCAACTTTTTTTTTTTCAAAACACTTTCGCTGCCGTTCACGCCATATGGCGTGTTTAGAGTTCCGACATGGTACACCAAACAGCCATATGGCGTGCTTCTGCAAGTCGCACTAACAAATAATGACGCATGGAAGATTTGAAACTAAACCCTAATGCAAACATTTTTTCTCATTATTTTACCATACCATTCGTTGCTTATTGATATTCCCTTTCTTTCAAACGTTTATGTATTAAAATCGCAGAGATATCTTGCTCTTATCTAAGTCTCTTTTTTTGGGGGGGCAATCCAAAAACGGTATAAGTGGTTGAGGTAATACACAACAAGTCGTTCCTTCCACCTGTGAATGAATAAGGTATGCATTGAAATTTAAAAACAAAATTATGCACGTTCGCAATCAAGAAGTCGAACTTTTCCCAGACGTAGTTTGTACCCTTACGGAAAAATCCTCTAGGATCCTATAAGATTTTTGAAATATGAAAATCTCATGAGGTTCCTGTAGGATTCCTAAAGAATTCGTATTGGATCCTATAGGATTCCTATGGGATTCTTATCAGATTTCCATGTTTCAATAATCTTATAGGATCCTAGAGGATTTTTCCATGAAGGTAAATCACTTCTAAGATAACCCTGTTTTTTTTCTAGTAGCCTTTGAAATAAAGTATTTTTCTTCGCGCAATGTGCCTCGGAAGTGAATGTACAATACTGTTCCACTGTTACGGTATTGTACACGCACTTTAACGACCAACGAGAGATGTTTGGTATTAATCTTGTCTCTTTGGATGCTGTCATGCCATACATTTAGGGCAATTTTTAAAAAAACCGCGCCGTTTCTCCCTTTTGGAGAGAGGTGCCTTGGTATTTGCGGCCAATACTAGTAAGTTAAATTATCCATGATCATTTGACGGGCTATGAGAAGTTGATATTTACATTAAGCCTTTGCTTTTCGCTTGCTTTAGCCAGGCAATTCCCTGTGACACCGGTGGATCTGTCCACCTGTGGAATGGACCACGGAAACTTTGTTGTATTCCTTATAAAACGTTATACTGCATACTTGTGAAACTATATGCATATTTATGTGTTTTGAGGTCATGTCCTAAACGTGGAATGCTGTGTAATGCGAAGTTTATTCCTGAAAGGTACAATATTGTCGCACATTGTGATATTTCGTTCCAAATTGGGTGATAATGTCGAACTCTGGGCAATCTTATCCTGTACCGTTCCGCAAAAGTCTCGGGGAAAGCATTACGTAAGTTAGGAGAGAATTGACACATGCAGAGACTCATTCGTTCGCTTCACTTGAAGTGTGCATAAAACGTCACCGAAAGAAATCGAAGACGGAGTGATAATGTGGTCCATGGACGGCATTAGGATGAAGCCTTATTACCATGATTTATTTCCATTTTTAATTAAAGAAAGATGGATGAATACACATTTACAAAGTATGGTTATTTTTCCTTGCAGTAACCACCACCATTTCCTAAAAATTTTCATCAGTCCTACCAGTGCAAGAGGTTCAGTAATTCAGACTTCCAAAAAGCGCACTAATTCAAGTCCGTCTGAACTCGCTAGTGGAGTGCAAGTCTGCAGTTTTTGCTGAATGAGCATCCAGTATATAACATAATTGTTATTAGAACTTTCTGCACTCGCTCACCAAATTTCTCAAAAGAACAAATCGCCTTCTACTCAGATTAGTCCGATCGTCCTTCATTCGCTCAGCAAGTTTCAGGGATTTTGAATCATCTTTTCAATATTAGAAGCACTCGAAACCTCAAATGGTATATCAGAGTCCAGTTAATCAATTAGGAATCAATTAATTTTCATTTTGCTTCGGGGTTAGCTATGCAGTCGATTGCAAGAGCTACAATGAAAATAAGCAAATACCCCACGAACATTCAGATATTTGAGAGGCTATTCACAGGCCATTCATGCATGAAGCACATGAAGTCTAGGGATAAAAAGTTTTCCGATTCAAAAGTAATGGAAGTGGTAAAGGTGAGTATATAAGTAGTTCAATATTTTTAACGAACAGACATGGCACTAGAACCATATATACCAGTGCCATAATCTAATGCATATATAAATCGAAATCTGGGAAAAATCAAATGGGAAATGGTTCTTTTGCATAACACTTAGAATTATATTGTATTCAATAGAATCAATACCCATTGCTGTGTTATTTGTTGAAATACAATATAATGGCATTAAATACAAATTCAAATACGGAATCATTTCGTACACAGCGATTGATCCTACTGGAAAACATTCTAAATAAGACTACGTTATCTAAGTTTACGAAAAATTGAATCGTGAAAAGAAAGGTCGAGATATGCCTTTCAGTACTGTCGTGATGCAGGAGGGTAAAATAGATTTAATTGGAATAGTCACGACATTTTTTATGAGATAAAAACGAACGCAAAAATTCAAACGTTTCCTCCATAATAAGGAAATAAGAAGTTTATATTTAAAAAAATGCAGCGCTCTCTATGTATTCCCATCGATACGAAAATGCGCTTAACACGACGATATTGCACATCGTCATGGAGCGTGCAGTTTCGTTCTCGCATGTGCAATCGCACAACTTCGTCATGAAGTGAATTTCGCCCACCTCCTTCCTGATCCCTCTCATCTCTTCCTGGACGCTAATGAACCTCCCCGATAGCTCCCTTAGTCGCTCCTCCAAGCTACAAACCCTGCATACCTGGCATTCCTTTCGCTCACTAGTCCCACCAACCCAATCTCCGCAGCGAACGCACCTACACACCCTAAGCATCTAGTATATATATACGATCGTGACTGACTGACGCTAATTCTAACCATGTTTTAGAAGGGTTAGAAATCTGAAACTTGGTACACATGTACCTTTTGGGATGCAGAGTTCAGAAAAAATCAGACTTTGGAATTTCATTCGACTCCGCATTCCTTTTCTTTTGTGCCATTACTCACTCCAAAACCATAACATTACTTTTACTTGAGTAAAACGGAGAGACATGGAAAGCTGAAACTTGGCATGGATGTGCCAACCGAGACGATGAAATCAGAAAAAATAAACAACTTTACATCCATGCCCTGGGGGCATATTTTTATGAGCCGACGTTTTCAAGTATTTTTTTTTATCCTGGCGTATTGAACTAGTGTGGAATGATGAAACTTGGTACATAACTACATTTTGGGATACTTCAGAAACTTCAGACTTTAGAAGTAAATGCCTTGGAAGCACAAATTTCAAAAGGGATGTATTTCTAATTTCTTTGTATCAGTTAAACCGTTGGAAATGGAAAGCTGGAACTTTGTATGAATGTGACTACCAAGATAAGGAGTTAAAGAAGAATGTTAAGCCTTGATACATCCCCAGGGAGAAAATTTCTCGAGGGGCGATGTTTAAAAAAAAGAAATTGTCCTGGCGAGTTGGACAGAAATGGAAAAGTGAAACTTGGCACACGTATAAGTGACGTGATATTATTGTGTTGAGGGACTATTCAGCTTTCATGGTGCATCCCCTCCGGGCATTGCTTTTGAGTAGGTCGGCTTTTGCAAACATGATTTTTCACCAGCGAAAAGGGCAAACGTCTAATATTGAAACTTTGTGGGCATGTAGTTCACTGAGGTTTGATTTCGGTAGAAATGATACTTTTCGGTAAAACGCGCGTGGGCACATATTTTGCAAATTTTCCATAATTTTCTGATCAAGAAAAACAGAGGGTGCTAGAAAGTTTAAACTTGGCAAAGAAGTACCTGATAAATAGCTGAATGAAGGAACTATTCCACTTTCATATTATATATGGACAATCTTGAGTATCTGACTGAATGACATACGTAGTTATTCAAATGCTAAGTTAAGGAAAAATTCCACTTTTGTGATAAACGCCATAGGGGCTCACCATTTCGAGGAACATATTTTCAAATATTTCTCTTTCCTTCAATCAGACAACCATGGAAAGCTATAACATGGCAAGAACGTGACTGGGGAAGCACTCATCTCCAACGTCAAATCTGAAATTTCAAAAATATTTTTGAGGGGCATATTTTTTTGGACGTAACGTTTTCAAAGAGTTTTTAATATCCTAGCGAATCGGGCAGAAATAGAAAAGTAGCAACTGGCGCACACATAACGGACATGATGTTACATTAAGGAAAAAATCAACTGCTGAGCGTCTCCCCAGAGCACAGCTTTTGGGTGGGTTGCTTTTCCAAATACATATTTTTTACCACCAGCAAAAATGGGAAACGTATAAGGCTGAAACTGGGTGGCATGAAGTTTCCTGAGTCTATATTTCAGAATAAAAAAAATTTCGTTAAAAAAAAACTGGAAAACTTTTTTCAAGCCCCATTTTCGTGACTTATTTTCCGATCTAACGAAACAGAAACAGAAATTTTAAATTCCCTCAGAAGTACCTGTTCGATGGT